TACATTTCGGAGGAGCACTTCGCTTTCTTCTTCAAGGTCGAACATTGATCCAAGAAAATAACCAACATGAAGCAGGTGTAAGCCAAGCAAGAAACAGCGATGAAACAGAAAGCAAGCAGCGTTCTCCTTGCTACCATTCCGCCTTCCTTCCGCTGACTTTCAACGGACTGCATGTCGTTATATTCCAGAAGAAATGATTCCTCAACATAACTGGTTTCGTGACTGATCGGTGGGTACCCCGGTAAAGATCTGCATGAATGTAATATAAAGCAGATACAGAGAGGCCGCCGAAGGCAGACTAATTTGAATATTGGTGTCAGATTTACGGAACGGAAGTATTACCAGACAGTCTTTTGGTGTTTCTCCCTGATTCTCTGCCACGCATCTCAATCGGTCCATGTAAACAATATTACGAGCTTCAACTTCTGATTCTGCTCGTAATTGCTATAAACTCTGATTGATAACGTACAATGATAACAGAGTACTTGTTACTGAACTAGAAGTTAACTTCCGAATAACTGATCAGTTGTACAAAACTGTATGCACTAGCCCTATCCTGGACCTAAGTTTGGACGATAAATATAAGAACTAAATTTTTGACTTAAGAACATATGCCTAAGTGCGCAAATCAAGCAAGAAACCACAATGAAGCAGGTAGCAAGTAGGTTTGGATTGTTCTACCCTGAAGATGGAGGCGATATTTTCCTCCGAAACGTCTGTTGACGTTCAACGGCCTACACGGCGTTATTTTCCAGAAGATCGACCTCTTCGTAACCAGCNAACTATATGCACTAGCCCTATCCTGGACCTAAGTTTGGACGATAAATATAAGAACTAAATTTTTGACTTAAGAACATATGCCTAAGTGCGCAAATCAAGCAAGAAACCACAATGAAGCAGGTAGCAAGTAGGTTTGGATTGTTCTACCCTGAAGATGGAGGCGATATTTTCCTCCGAAACATCTGTTGACGTTCAACGGCCTATACGGCGTTATTCTTCAGAAGATCGACCTCTTTGTAACCAGTGCTGTGAGAACCCCAAATCCTTTCAAAAGTTGTTTACAAGAATACAGTATCACTGAACTGAATATGCATACATTAAGACATTTCACCGTTGTTACCAGTGAGCCAATTGTTTCAGTTTGTTATCTCGATGTGGTTATGTATGGCAATCGATCCAAGTCGTCAAGTCGTTCTCAACTGAACCACAATGGGTTGTCGCAGTGGTTGGTACGTCACACTAATATTGCTCATATTCAATTGTCTGAGGCACCTGTGCTGGTTGTGGGGCTATGCTACAAGCCGGAAGGTCGCGGGTTCAAGTCCCGATAATGTTATTGGATATTTTTCAACTGACTTAATCCTCCCAGCCGCACTATGGCCCTGGGGTTTACTCAGCCTCTAACAGAAATGAGTACCAGAAATTAATTAAATAAATTTCCTGGGGGGTAAAGCGCGGCCGGCGCGTAAGGCTGACAACCTTACCGCCAACTTTGAGCCGATTATCTAGATAGTGTGGTACCCTCAACGTCTCACAACCCTATGGGCCTTCACGGCCTGTTACAGGGGTAGCTTTGCTTTACTTTACCTATGCAACATTTATGGAGTTGGTTATACTCTCCACTTCAAGTGATGGTTTCCGTTAACTCTTTTGAAAACTGAGAAAGTTGAAAGTGATCACCATAATAGTCTGGNTAACCAACATGAAGCAGGTGTAAGCCAAGCAAGAAACAGCAATGAAACAGAAAGCAAGCAGCGTTCTCCTTCTTACCATTTCGCCTTCCTTCCGCTGACTTTCAACGGACTGCATGTCGTTATATTCCAGAAGACATGATTCCTCAACATAACTGGTTTCCTGACTGATCGGTAGGTACCCCGGAAAAGATCTACATGAATGTAATATAAAGCAGATACAGAGAGGCCGCGTAAAGCCGCCGAAGGCAGACTGATTTGAATATTGGTGTCAGATTTACGGAACGGAAGTATTACGAGACAGTTTTTTGATATTTCTCCCTGATTCTCTGCCACGCATCTCAATCGGTCCATGTAAACAATATTACGAGCTTCAACTTCTGATTCTGCTCGTAATTGCTATAAACTCTGATTGATAACGTACAATGATAACAGAGTACTTGTTACTGAACTAGAAGTTAACTTCCGAATAACTGATCAGTTGTACAAAACTGTATGCACTAGCCCTATCCTGGACCTAAGTTTGGACGATAAATATAAGAACTAAATTTTTGACTTAAGAACATATGCCTAAGTGCGCAAATCAAGCAAGAAACCACAATGAAGCAGGTAGCAAGTAGGTTTGGATTGTTCTACCCTGAAGATGGAGGCGATATTTTCCTCCGAAACATCTGTTGACGTTCAACGGCCTATACGGCGTTATTCTTCAGAAGATCGACCTCTTTGTAACCAGTGCTGTGAGAACCCCAAATCCTTTCAAAAGTTGTTTACAAGAATACAGTATCACTGAACTGAATATGCATACATTAAGACATTTCACCGTTGTTACCAGTGAGCCAGTTGTTTCAGTTTGTTATCTCGATGTGGTTATGTATGACAATCGATCCAAGTCGTCAAGTCGTTCTCAACTGAACCACAATGGGTTGTCACAGTGGTTGGTACGTCACACTAATAT